CAAACAGTTTTACTAAAATTCAGATTTAGGCATTCCCATTTCATAAACTTTTCAAAATAAAGCAAGAGTGAGTTAAAAGACAAAAAAAAAATTGGAGAAAAATACAATCAGCTTGAAAAAAAAAGCATACTGTTTTTTGTTTTTTTTTAATCTGGCAAACCTGCAAAATATTTTTCTTTTGTTTTAAATCTACAATAATATATGAAAAGCTAAATTATGTGACTGCAATTGTGTTTAGTTTCAGGTAAAATTGAAAACATAATGTAATTTTTGCAAACACAAATACTAAAATGTTTGTGGCCCCTGGGGTTGTTTCAGCTTGACATTTTTGGCCCACATGCCAGAAGGTTAGGACACCCATGGTCTCATATGAAATGTGCTCTTATTTTTTCAGTGTAATGACTGTGATGTTTTCAATTGAATTTCTCAATCATCAAAGTCTTAGTGAAAGATGAAGCAATGTTTACAACCATGAGTTAGCATGATAGGGAGAGAATAGAGTTCCCATCCGCTGAGGTCAGGCTGCCATCCATGCGCAGTGGCAGTATCGTAGTCTATGAGGTTTAACCGAGGCACGATTATTGCTAGTTGAAAACTTTACCCAATACCCCGCCTTGACGACTTGAAATATAGTCGGCAATGGCAATTTTTGACGGTCTCTATGGAGACTGATTTCTATGTAAATGGAATTAATAATTAACTGATAAGTACATAGAAAGTAATGTGTCTTCAGTGATATGTTTTTCAGAATAGTGATGGGCCAACCAGATGACACAGAAACCTCGGCACATTCGCGGAGCAAACAAGATGAAACGAAACCACGTGTCTGTGTGCGTGTCACTTTAAGGAAAACCACGTGACCACTACAGTTCCTGTATCGTTTGGTTGTGAACGCGCCAAATTGCGTTTGTGAAGGAGAAACAGCGTTGACACGTTTGTGGGTTTTTGTTGAATGGAGATACTTCGTGTCCTTTGCTTTGCGTTGGTTTTTGGCTCGTATTTGAATACCGGGATGAATCAACCGAGGAAGAGGAAGTTTTTTCCCCGTGTGGGATCATTTTTGATCTGGTCACGGAGAATAAGGTAAATGATTCCGTTCTCATTTTCGCTTTGTATAATTTTTTTCTTTAGGCTTATTCCAATTTCTTTTTATGGGATATTTGAATTAGTTGACAGGAGATTAACTTTTATTTATATTGTAGGTGAAACGTAAGATTTACTCCCAGGTGCTGCCTTACTGTAAGCGGAGCTCTTCCACAATCCTGAGGCACCGTCGTGCCCGGCATGATGGGGGATGATCCGGTTAACACTCCGTGATAAACCCCGGTGCTTCCAGAAAGCAGGCGATTGAACTGGACCTTCAGCTCAACCATCTGCTCCCAGTTCAGGTTCGTCATGGTTGCTAACTGTGTTTATTTGTATTTTAATGTTCTTGCAAATCACTCCACGTAATTACAATAAATGAGTAACACAGATGCATTTTATTTATTTTTTTTCCTATGACAACCTGTGGCAGCAGCTGAACATGGAAATCGAAGAGAGCAATTCAAACTTCTCCACCGACGCCGTTATCGAGGTACAAAGATGCATCTCAGAGGCGAACACGCCAAGATCACAGGATCCACTACAATGCTGGGAAATGCAGAGACTACAATTACCCTACATTATACAAACACTGATTAAATTTCTATGTATGCCGTCGTCATCGGTGCCTTGTGAAATGGTTTGTAAACGGCGCAATCGCCCAAAGCTGTTACAGCAGCTGATGAAGTCTTGTAGTTTATTTTACATCTGTATAATGCAATTCATAAATGATTTTTCTCTTCAGTTCCACATTTGATGTCCAGCAAACTGTTTTAAGCCAGTTCGCGTTGTCTTGTGAAAGCAAAGAAGACAGAATGTAATTTCATCAACATATAAATTATTTGGATGACCTATAAGTACCGAAATATTTCTGTCTAAAGTCTTCCAGAAGAAATAGGCTCTTATTTTTTCAGTGTCTGAGGTTAGGACCTTGCATATCAATTTGCAGCAGTGGGCTATGCAAACCTACCCGCACAACATTTTGAGTGATATAATGCCATTTTGGATGCCATTTAAGATTTTCATCAACTGAAGATGAAGTGTGTGGTCATATTAGCATTTTTTAGCAATTGTGAATAAAATCGACGGAATGCAAATTGTTGAATTCTTTGGGCTTCGTGCGTCTTCATGTAAGTTATCTTAAAAAAAAAACAACTTTGAGTTATTGTATTTAATAAAGTGAATGTGGAATTGGATTAGTTTGGCGGTTGTCCGTTTAATTATTTTTAAGGTCTAAATTGCATTTCTCGAATTGCAGCAAACATTGGTTTTTAACCAGTTGATGCTTAATATTGTCAAGTTATTTTAAATGTGATTATAATGTTATTGCTGTTTACTCTTCAGAGCTGCTGAATGAAGATGAAGCAATGTTTACAACCATGAGTTAAGATGATAGGGAGAGAATAGAGTTCCCATCCGCTGAGGTCAGGCTGCCATCCATGCGCAGTGGCAGTATCGTAGCCTGTGAGGTTTAACCGAGGCACGATTATTGCTAATTGAAAACTTTACCCAATACCCTGCCTTGATGACTTGAAATATAGTCAGCAATGGCAATTTTTGACAGTCTCTTAGGAGACTGACTTACTTGTAAAAGTTGTTACATATGGCACTCATACAGGGTCAGATAGAGATCTTACAAACTTAAAAAGTAGACTAATGTTAGCTATGTGTGTTTATAAAAACAGGCAGAATGTGTATAAAGAAGTTTAGTAATTATTGTATTTTACTGTGAAAATGTTTGAATCACATTTGAAATGTTCTGTTTTACTTTTAGTAATTTCCCACTGCAACATGAAGAATGAGTAATATTACAGCATCGGTTTAACTTCTATAATACTGTGAGTTTGATCACATAAAACTTTATTTTTCTTATTAATGCTTTCATCAGCGTCTCAGTGTTGATTCTCATATCTGTTCTCTGTGGGTTCAAATGGCCTTAGAAAATAAATGTTCAAATGTTTCCAAACTACTTCCACATTTAAATACGTGACATTTATAAAATTTGGGAAATTCGTCATCACAGCAGCAGAGCTAAGATTTTAGCATTTGCAGACCATTTCAGTAACTTACTCTGAAAAGCTAGATGTATATTTGTAGTTCAATGTGCTTTACATCATAAAAACACAAAAATCAACTATTGAAACATTACCTTTTTGATCAAAGTGTTGGATAGTGTTTCATTAATTATGGTACAAAATCAACTCTAATAAGGTTTAGTCTACAAGGAACTCAGCATTTCAGCTGTTTAACAATTTTCCAGAAGTTTGTTCAAGATGTGTGGCGCATAGAAGCTGAATGCTGCTTCTCCATGTGTGGTTCTGGGGATACCGAATGTTAATTAGTAAATAGATTGTTTTTTCCATTTGCTACAGTTAAAAATAAATATACATTTTGGCAAGATTTAAAGCCTGAAACCGGAATAAACACATATTGTGATACATTGTGCTTCCTAGAACACATGGGGGCGCTCTAGATCCACAATATAGGAGAAGAGACACGCAGAGGAACATCGAGTTGGTTATGCAGAAGGTTAATCATCATTTGAAACTCAGTTTCTTTGTAAATGTTCTAAAACCGAAAATAATATTAGCGCTGCCATGTTTTAGCATCTTACAGAGACATAATTGCTTTGCTATTTAATTAGAAAGAGATTTGCTGTAGTCAATCACCATAGCGGCGGACTTAATCAAGGCTTACCAGCTGAACTCAAAAGACTCTTGTCTCACCCCGATAAGGCTCTCATAACTTTGATGTTTTTGTAAACAGTCTTAATTTTCCTCTTTATTTTCACTCTCACTGTTTATGAAAGTGAAAATGAAGGATTTAATGTCATGGTATGAAATCAGTTTGCCTTGCTAAACACAAATATATATATATATATATATATATATATATATATATATATATATATATATATATATATAACACACACACACACACACATATATATATATATATATATATATATATATATATATATATATATATATATATATATATATATATATTTTTTTTTTTTTTTTTTTACACCAGCCTGCAATTTCTCAGTTTCCAAGTAGTGGTCTTTTGATGTGCTACTTTGCTAAATGTATTTAGCGTGCTGTCGTTCATAATGAGTCATTGTTTCAGATGTTGGAGTGCGGTTATAGAAAGCCATCTGTTGGTTGTTTCTCCCCAACTTCAGCACCATGTCTGTGAAAAAGAAACTGGAGCAACTGGTCATCTTCATCCAAAGTGAAATAAGAGAGAAGAAGAAGAGAGATTTATATTTCCCTAAATTACTCAGAAAGACTTTTGCATTGAATTTTATGGCAATCTGGGAAGCATTTTCCTTGGCTTGCCCTCTGTCATGTAGACCCATAGAGCAACGATCAGTGAATCTTTTAAGTGTTATATATTTTCTGTGTGTGGTCCTCTTGACCCGATTATGACCCGGCGGTCGCTCCACGTTCGGGATGTAATTAGGGTTTCAGTAACATGAGATGAAAATAGACGGCTCTTTTATTGGGTCAGTGTCTGATCTTTTTGAATTCCTCGGCTGTCCAGAGCGATATGAAAGATACGGCTCTCCTCTGCGTAAACAGGAGCCTAATAAATGCCAAAACATAAACAAATACACAGCACAACACGACAGGACTTGTTCCTAGGTAACCATGTGACAGTGCTCAGGATTGCTATGGAAACCAGAGTATCCTCCCCCCCAACACCCCCTAACTCTTTCTAAATCTCTGTGTCGCTCTCTTCCTCTCTAATGTCTGTTTGAAGATATGTGATAAGCTAATGTGTCTTAACTTCAGCATTTCACTTTTGATTACTCTTAAAGTTTATTTTTCTGGAGGCAGCAGTACTCACTGAGGAATTCACAAATGAAAACCTGCTTTTCATTACAAAGAATAATAACTTATCATAATGTTGAACTCTGTGACAAAACCGAAGCTATTTAATTACAGTTTGTATATATATATATTTTTTCTTCTGATGTCTGTTCAGTAAGCTAATGTACAGTCCGCTTTTAAAGCTGGTGTCGTATTATCTCATTGTTTGTTTTTCGTCACAGTGGGTGTTGCATTTCCATTTTCTAAATATAAAACCACACTTGTCTTCAAAGACTAAAAAGATCACAGCCGACTCTATTTAAAACGCAGGTGCAAATTCTAAAAGGGATGCTTTGATTAGTGGCCAATTATGAACTCCCTTGTTGCTTCACCTTTTGTAGCAGGTCCTCTCATTTTTGTTCCCTCTGCCGATTCTTTTGTGGGGGCGGAAGGTATTTTAGGGAGACGGCTAATACATTTAGAGATCACATGAGTGAACAGGAAACTCCAAAGTTATTTAACAAACCCAATTAAAGTTGTTGCAGTCCTCCGAAGCTATCTGCCTTTTTAATCTCTGTATGGTGTACAAGGGATTGCCCCCAATTAGTTGCCATCTGTGACACCATGACATGGAAAGCAGCTATCCTGATTGTATTTCAGCCTCAATTACTCTGTAAAGCTTACAGGCAAGCCAAGGAAAACTGGTCTCTTCCACTCTTTAACACTTTTTTGGAATGATTTCTTTTCCCTTTTAAGTTGTCTATAAAGTGTGGTGTTTGGTTTTGGGTACAAGTGCTCCATTTCTCTTACATTTGGCACAAAAAGGCCTGGCTGCCTTATTAATGAAAGCAGTTTCTGCCTTTCAAGAATCTAGTGTAACCTTCCAGGTCCCTATAAAGCCATTTGTTTTAAACATCAACAGAATTTGTTTGCATTAGGAAGGAAAAAAAAAACAAAGCATACTCCAGACTAGTAAGAAAAGAAGCTAACTGGGCTTAGCATAAATGCTAAACAAATGGCTAAATATAAAACTATAACTTGCAAGCATTCTGGACTGAACTTCAATTACTTTTGGTTTATTTTTATAAAATGGATGTATCTTAATTGTTATTTTGCTGAGTGGTGACAGATGAGGTGTGAGGACAGATGTAGCTAGCCTACAGAGTTAGCTACATATAGGCTAGCTAACTCCGCTGTTTGACATGAACACTTCCTTTCTTTTGTTGGATTAAGTCCCCAAAAAAATTCAAGTTGCCTATAGAGTTTACTTTTCCATTGATCCACTGTCTGCGCGGCAGACAATGGTTTACGATAACTAAACTGTTATTTTTATTTCCTTTCAGCTACATTTGTTCCTATGGTCTACAGCAACAGTGCTCGGTGTGAAGCGTTTTCCACGACTAGATACCTTTTTTGTTGAAATTATTTCTTTTGCAACACATTGGTTTCAGAAAATAAAAGGAATAAAATTAATTTGGAGAAAAACAAAAACAGATTTTATTACAGAACAGTCTTTTAGCATGTATGGCCAAGTTTTTAATGGACGCTAACATGCATTCTGAACGACTACATCAACCTGTGACTTTCGTAAACCATTAGAAGGTGTTGTGTTTGTTTGAATGGTTGATCTTAAGTGTAAAGTAGCTGAAATGTACAAAGTTTGCAAACTGCATCATGATTCAAGACATTGGTTTAGCTTGTTGGTCTCGTACAGATCGATCGTGTCTGTGGGAAATGCTGTTTCAATTAGAGATGCATTGATCTACTCCTTGTGTTGTGTTCATACAGTTGGGTAATGTGGCTTAGCAGTAAAGTATACTGACCTGTCTTTAACATCATCCCTAATGATTGACACCATTCTCAGATTCTTAATATTCTGTCTCTCTCCAGGCCACATAGCAACAGACCTGCATGTAGTCCAATGGATTATACAAAGCATTCAAAATAAACATTTTTGTAACTTAATGAGTAAATATCTCATCAGTGTCACGCAGAAGACGCGTGCCGTCTCAAAAAGACAATACATGTGAGTCATTGCATATTTTTGTTAAGAAATATCAAAACCCATCATCATGATGACACACTCTGTTGATAAGAGTCATTGTTTATGCGAACAAACTAAAATCGGTGAGAGAAACAACTCGCATGCAGAGCCATCCTCTAGACTCCAATAAAATCTTGTGGCTGATCAAAGCAAAAGCAACACTGTGAACCAACAGCCCATTATTAGCATTAGACAAAAAAAAATGTCTGGCAGCTTTTCCTGATGCTGTTACTGATTATGCTGCTGCAAATTGTTACAAATGAGTTGGAGGTTCCTAGAAGAAACCTATAACATAAGCAGCATCGAGTCGTCTCCTTCAGTTAAGCATAAATGTTAA